AGTCCTCAGCGAACCCCAGCCAGTCCACGTTTTTGCTCCCTCCCAGCTCCCAGCCAATCAGGAACACCGAATAGCTGGTACAGGTGCGCTGGGAGCTGAGAGGAAGCAAAAACGTGGACTGGCTGGGGTTCGCTGAGGACTGGGTTGAGAAACACTGGTTTAGAAGATGTTTTGCAGCTCCTGCTCCAATACTGCTTCCACTTGTATCTGGACATTCCCAGGAAGCTCAGCCTAGCTGCCCTTGTTACTAGCTGATTCCTTGACAGATTTGTAATGTGCTATATGCCTCAATTGTATGTCCCTTTGGGAAAAAGGCATCTGCTAAATAAAATATATGTAAATGTGAATTTAAATCCCAGGCTTTTCTGGGGCCAAGAGAATCAAACTGGTAGCTGATTGCCCTTTGTAGTTGGAGTTTAGTGGGACGCCTGGTTTGGTAGAAGCTTGAGTATGTGTCAAGACCACTACATTTTGAGGCGACGGAGCTCATTAGTGTGTAACATCACATGTCTAAGAGCCGCGATAACGAAGCTGACCCAGATAGCCGATGTGTGACGGCTGTCTCATCATTTAATGCCCCTTCTGTTCCTCGCCGGTCGTCTGTCTTCTCCTTTATCATGTAGAATGAGAGGCTCCAGCTCTTTGAAGTATTTCTATTTCCAACTTAAGGTGGAGCGTTGACCCACAGTTGCCATGTGCTCACTGCTTTCCAAGCGCAAGGCCCGGCCCATTCTCCCACTAGGGTTCCTGGGCTTTCACACGAGCAGTGCTGGTGTTTTCCATAAAATTCTGGCCTGATATTTTATTACTGATCACTGTCTGAAAAAGATGACAGATGGTTTTAAAAGGTTACCAAGAACACGAGCCACTAATCGTCGACTCCAGAGATGCCACAGGAAATTGACATTTTCTCTTGACATTTTCTCTCCCATTACCAATTTGTCATCGGGCGTGCCAGGGAGGGCGTGGCCGGCTCCGCTGACCAATGGCAGCGCACCTACAGGCGCTGCTCGGCCAATGAGGTCCACCACATCCGCCTGGAGGAGAGCAAGTTTTTTGGGGAGTACCAGGGAAAGAGCTTCACCTTTACGTCCTTCCATGTGCACAAGAAGTGAGGCTGACCTTCTGCATAGACCTGTAGACACACGCGCTGCCTATGTAGAAATGAACACTCTCTTTTGTGTTTGTGTAAACTTCTTGAATTATTGTTCTCTATAAATTCAGTTAATATTCTTAAAATGCTTCGTATCTGTGACTGCTGGTATTTAGTGAATGTTTTTCACATGCAGCATTTTGACTGTTAGGCTCATTTTATGGATTATTCTGAGAGGAAGAAATTCTTCCTGTTTACATGTGTTGCATTGTAGAAGCTTCTGGACTCTGGAGACCAGCTCCTGAGTGACCGTCCATTCTGTGTGCTGTAGGTATGGGGTATGTCTGATAGGCGTACGCCGTCTGGACACGGCCAACATCCTGTTGAACCCGGGCCCCTGTCACATCATGGCCGCCTCCGACACCTGCTTCTATATCAACATCTCCAAGGAGGAGAACTCGGCGTTTGTGCGGGGGCAGCGCGAGTCTCTGCTGGGCCCCGGGGGGTGTGCTCCAGGGGCCCCTCACACCATCTACCACGGGTTGACACGCTTGCCCGTTCACAGCATCATCGCCAGCATGGGTCGGTGACATCATCACCGACGCCCCTCGACGAGCGGCCGCGGTTACACGCTGTCTAACATGCTCACACTCTTACAGGTACGGTCGCCATCGACCTGCAGGACTCCGGCGACAGCGGCGACGGGGCCGGGGCCGGGTCCAAGGGCTCGGCGGGCCCCGAGAGCGGGGGCGTGGCTGAGAGGGGCTGTGACCCCAGCACGGAGAGGGGGAACACCCTGAGTCTCCCCATAACGGTGGACGCCGCCCCGCCAAGGCGACACAGCATCGCCCCCGTCCTGGACCTGGGGGAGGTCAATGGCCCCACCTTTGACCTGCTGGGGGACCAATCGGAGGACGAAGCAGGCGAGGATGGCGAGGAGGGTGGGAAGGCCGCCAACTCTCCCAGTCCTTGGTGGGGAGGACACTGCGAGTGAGTACCAGCTAAAGGGCACTGTGGTTATGTGCCGTGTGAGTGAATATGAGAACATGTGCTGTGAAAGGACACCACCAGGTGGCGCTGTTGCCTCTGGGGTTGAGTTTACATTCGTTTCCTCCAGGTACTCCCGTTTCCTCACAAGGTCCAAATTATTTACAGACGCACACCCATAAATTGAGAAACTAGTGAAACAAAAAATTGTGCTATGGTCTCTTAATTTTTTTCCAGAGCAGTATTTGTGTATTAGTTTTAGACAGTGGCGGTAGTTTGGGTCCAGAGAGTAAAAGTTGAGTACTCTGATTGTGATTTAAGATTCTCAACTGGTTGGTTGGAACAAAATCTTGGTTTGGACTTTTACTCTCTGGACCTGAAGTACCCTCCTCTTCGGCTGACCCTCTACCCCCTACGCCTGCCAGGTGGGTGAAAGGGTACCCCCTGAACTCCCCCTACATTGGCAGCTCCCCCACCCTCTGCCATCTCCTCCAGGAGAAGGTGTCCTTCTGCTGTCTCCGGCTGGACAAGGTGAGAGTCTGCACCCCCCCCCCACCCTTATCACATGACCTCTTGCTGGTTTGTCTCCCATAATCCTAGGCTCCGCATCCCAATTACATCCATGCTTCCCTGGCCAATCCCTGCCTCTCCTCGAATTATTGATACCTCGCTTGTCCAACGGCTTTCTTATTTTGCCCCTTTTGCCCTCCCCCTCAGGCCTGCCACCACGTGCCCTACGAGGACGCCCGCGCATACGGCTTCAGGAACAAGCTGATCATCGTTTCGGCCGAGAGGGCGGGAAACGGGCTCTACAACTTCATCGTGCCTCTGCGGGCATACTACCGGCCCAAGAAGGAGCTCAACCCCATCGTGCTGCTCCTAGAGAGCCCGTGAGTCACCGTACCGAGTCCTAGAAAGGTAGCTGCAAATAGCGACGTCGTTCCGGGAAAGTGTTATCGAGTTCTGACGGCTTAATTGAATGAAGGGGATTCATTATCGGGTGCGAACTATGTTTCCGGTAGCTTCTGTGGATAACTGAGGATCTATCAAGCTGCTAGTAGTGTTTGAGGGCGCTTTCAGCCAAGCAAGAGAATCATCCACATATAAGCATTCTGTCCAGCATCGTTCCGGGCCGTGGTGGTATTTCATATCTTATCCCCCCCCCCAGACCCGAGGCTGACTTCCTGGAGGCCATCTGCTGGTTCCCCATGGTATTCTACTCCGTGGGATCCATCGACAAGTAAGAGTCAGTGGGGGCCCCCCCCCCCCCCCCCCCCCCCTCCACGCCGAGCCGTACCCATGGGGGCTAAATTTAGCACATCTCGTTTGTGGCGTCTTGTTACACATAATGTAATGATATTCATTACGGTAATAATGAAAATTGTCAAAATCATATTGCAGGGATAAAAAAAATAAATAAATAAAATGAAAGCTTGCTAATATTACTGCCGTCATGTTTCATCTAATGGTGCCCCCCCCCCCACCTTGCTGATGTTTCCCATTTCATAGGAAGCTGCAGCTGCTGGCAGTTATTTCATGTCATTCACACTCGTTTTGTTTAATATCGACGAGGAGCAGCAACACATGACGCGCCGCTCTCTGCGCTTGGTGACTCTCCAGCTGTGTTTGCTGCTGCAGCTGTCCCTGCGCTAATCGCATTTTCCTGCCAACGGGACCGTTTGTCTCGTTCCTGTTGGCAGGCTGGACACAGTCCTGCGCCTGACTGCTTCTCGCGTATTTTGGCTTCCCTTTCTCCGTTTCAGCTCATGCTGAGCTAACTGTGCCCCCTGCCTCAGCAGAGAAGGTGTCTGAGATTTAAAAGCGACTTTTTCAGCTGGTTTTAGCCTCAGGAGCCTCATTTTTTTCCCTTGGTCATTAAGTCACGACCCAAAGTTTTCTGAGGAAAAATGGCAGAGAGAAAGAAAGATATGAAAAATATGCTTATAGTCTGTGATATAAAATATGAAATTTTCCAACTGGGGGGTGCCGGTGGTGAATTTTTTATAAACCACGCACCCCATGAGCCCCTGAAAATCGCACGGTCCACTTTTGGGTCGCTACCCGAGTTCTAAGACACATCTAGAGCCCGCAGTGAGCTGCATCCCTGCCGTTATTGTGACGTGTCCCTTTGCCTCGTGCGTCCCCAGCCTGGACAGCCTGCTCCGCTGTGGCGTCACCTTCGCCGACACCATGGTGGTGGTGGACAAGGAGAGCTCCATGATCGCGGAGGAGGACTACATGGCCGATGCCAAGACCATCGTCAACGTCCAGACTCTCTTCAGGTGAGCGTCCTGTCAGCTGGGAGGACGGTTCCTGTGAACCTCCTGAGAGTCTGCCATGTTTCTCTTTGTGTCTCTAATGTTTCTATTGTCTGCAATTTTTTTTTACTAAATTTATGTCAGCGAAAAGTGACTTGTTTTATCCTCACTCAATAAATGCATTGTGACATAAAGGGTGTGTTTTGTCCAAATGCATCTAGGGTTAGTGATGGGAGAGGTGGGGCTTCCCAGCCATTGGTGGGCAGGACTATTGTGCACTGTCAATCATTGCTTGCTTATCCAATGGGAACCACCCTGAAGTCGGTTGACTGATAGCACATACTACAAAAATATAATACTCCAGTTTTAATGTGCTTTTCTGATATTCAATGTACATGGGGCGTCTCCACTCTCCCGACCTGCATCTCCAGGCTGTTCCCAGCACTCAGCATCATCACGGAGCTCACCCACCCTGCCAATATGCGCTTCATGCAGTTCAGGGTGAAGGACCATTACTCTCTAACACTGTCCAGGCTGGAGAAGGTGAGTGCTGTGGGGGGAGAGAGGCAGTGCCTTTATCTGCTCTTCCCGTGATCAGAAGACTGCTGGTTCAAATCCATTTGCCAGATGAATGATTTCGTCGCAGGGGCCCTTGAGCAAAGCCCTTAAACCTAATCGCTCAAGGGACTCAATAACGTTGCTTTCTCATTGTGCTAAGTAAATTAAATGTAAATAATAGGAGTGCCTACTTCAGGACGAGTTAATATTAACCAGGGCTGGATATGGGCAACCCACAGAATGAATAGCTTCATTTTAAAGGAGATGTGATGTCTGTAAACAGCACGTTACGCTAAGTCTTCTGTCCAAAGACTCGCTCTTCTCTCTCCAGTGGCTTCATCCACACATTACACAGAATGTTNACCGTGATGTCTGTAAACAGCACGTTACGCTAAGTCTTCTGTCCAAAGACTCGCTCTTCTCTCTCCAGTGGCTTCATCCACACATTACACAGAATGTTCTGGATCATTCCAGCTCCGCTCTGCTCTTTAGCGACTTTAACATGGTGAGACACACCTGCTATGAAAGCTACCTTGCAGAATGATAGAGCGCATCTCAGGCAGAACGATTTGCAAAGACTGATTAAATATCGTGTGTGACTGCCTGCCCTGGCTTTTCTGTGTGTGACTCAATCCTTGGTTTCTGTGTGGGAAAGGGAGCTCCTTTATGACGGTGATGATTCCCCCCTTTTTGTCCCCCGGCCGTTCTTCCTCTGCCCCCCCCCGCAGAAGGAGAGGGAAAAAGGCTCCAACCTGGTCTTTATGTTCCGCCTGCCCTTTGCTGCAGGGAAGGTCTTCAGTGTCAGCATGCTGGACACGTTACTGTACCAGGTAAATCTGACCCTTGACCTCTCCCCCAGTGCATTCTGGGACCCGATACCTTCAGATGTGGGTTTATGGGTGTGTCCGAAATTGCATATTTGCACGGTAGAAAATGAATTTCATCAGAAGCCTACTACTCGACCTTTAATGCATGAGAGTAGTATACATGGATTAGGTCTTCAGCTTGCATATTATCTGACCCGGATTGATAAAGCTTGACCCCCCTGCAAAAGTTAAAAACTGTTAAAAACTATCAACAAAAAAATACATATTGCAGTCAACTTATGTAACAGGGTGTTGTTTTCTAATTAAATTTGTACAGAGACGGCACCTCATCAACTCATCAGCAGTTCAAGTGTCCTTGTGATATAGTGTTGCACATCTCTAAATTACACAGAATATAGTACGTTATCCGGGTACCGGTCCTCTACTGTCTCATCCATACTGAGGATTCGGACATACTTTTCATGTACCATACTATATTTCGCCTACTACATACCAGTATGCAATTTCATTTGCACTCTATGTGGTTAAGTATACTAAGACAATTGCACAGTATCCTGCTGGGTGTAAGCAGTATTGCACCGCTTAAGTGCAGTTAGCATTTTAAATTCTGGTTCTGGGCCTGTTGCCTCAGTTGGCCTGTCTGTTCCTGCTTGTTTGTCCCAGTCCTTTGTGAAGGACTACATGATCTCCATCACCAGGCTGCTTCTGGGGCTGGATTCTACTCCGGGTTCTGGGTTCCTGTGTGCTGTGAGTATGATCCATCTGGCATGTCCCCTCGCTTCAACATGCATCCTAATAATATCCTGCCTGCGTCATTCAGGAAAACACACACCAAGATATTTAAAAATGCCTTCCTGAGGAACACACACATACTCTGTAGATGTCCGCTGCTCAGGAATATACACATACATCATCTGGGCAAATTTCCAAAACTCACTCAGGCCACGGGGTATGTTTTCAAGAAATTTAACAAAATATCTTTCTTCGATTACACGAGGACTGAGTGAGTTTTAGCTTCCAGTACTGTAACAATAAACAATGGACTGAGAGAGATTTGAAAATGTGCTCATCATATGTCATATGATCCCTACATTCACTCAGCACATGGCGCGGTGTCACTGAGGTGGACATGCAGCAGTAGCTAAGCTGCCAGTGATGTTGGCTTGAAAGGAAGGGTCAGTGATGATGTAAGAAGGGTCAGTGATGATGTAAGAAGGGTCAGTGATGATGTAAGACGGGTGATGGCAGCCTGGACGTGACATGGCTGACAGGGAGGGTGACTAGTGAGGATGATGCTGCTGATGAAGAGAAGGAGGGTCAGCCGGTTGTGTCTGACAGATGAAGATCACGGAGGAAGATTTGTGGATCCGCACTTATGGCCGGCTCTACCAGAAGCTGTGCTCATCTACCGGAGACATCCCCATCGGCATCTACAGGACTGAGGCACGGACACTGCCTGTATCAGAGGTACACACACACTAACTGTCATTCATGTATGCCAGTAATACCCAATCCAGTACAATCATGTAGGCACTTCCTGTCCCTCAGTTCCAGCTGTCAATCATGTAGGCACTTCCTGTCCCTCAGTCCCAACTGTCAATAGTAGGCACTTTGTGTCCCTCACTGTAGGTTGACCTTGTCTCTCAGTCCCAGGTGTCCATCAGTGTGGAGGACTGCGAGGACACCCGCGAGGGCCGCGAGCCCCTGCTGTGCCGGGCCGGCCCCCACTGTAACTCCACCTCCTCTGAGCCACCCTCCGCATCCTCCTCTGAGCACCCGCTGCTTCGCCGTAAGAGCATGCAGTGGGCGCGACGCCTGAGCCGCAAGGGGGGCCGGGGCCCGGGAGGGGCCAAGGGGCCAGGCAGCGCCGCTGAGCGCATCAGCCAGCAGCGGCTTACGCTGTTCCGCCGCTCCGAGCGGCAAGAGCTCAACGCCCTGGTGCGCACGCGCATGAAGCACCTCGGCCTGTCCCCGTCTGGATACAGTGAGTGTGCTGCAGTGTGTTGAGTATGAGCGTGCGTGCTTGTGCATCCATGGGTCTCTGTAGATAGGAGCTGCTGGGATTGTGAATATGAGCATTTCCTCAGCTGGCTGTCACACTATATCAACCCTCCTATGCCAGCCTCTTTGCTGCCCCCAAGAGGACAGTCAGGGCTCTGATGAAAAGCACGCTCTCACCGGGTTATTTCAGATTCACTTCTGACTGTTGTCTGCTGAAGTATTTGCTGTGTTAGTTTTTGAGTGTTTGGAACGTGTTCGTATGAATGTCCATTAAACAGGCAATACCCTCAAGCTAAGAATGTTGCAAAACCTCCCGTTTCTCAAGTGTATTGCACGTTGTACGGTCATATACTCTTTTCTTGCTTTTTCCACTTCTGCCCAGGCTAGTAGGTTTGTTACTGACCTGTAGATAATGTGACTCTTGTCGCACTTCCTGCATGAGACGTTCTGCCTCCTGTGTCATACCCTCAGATGGAATGACGGACCAGTGCAACACGTTGTCCTACATCCTCATCAACCCCTCGCCAGACAGTCGTCTGGAGCTTCACGACGTTGTGTGAGTACATGACTGGACCCTAGTATAGCCCCAGCGGAGTGCCATCACCTCAGCCATGCTACTGAAATAAGACGGGGCATACAGAGGGGCACTAACCCCATCTGAAAGCCGATTGGTGCCCAGAGTGCCCCCTCCCCTGTCACTCACCAATTCGAAATTCATTGGTTATTGATAAGGTTGGCCCCTCTGTATGAATTATGACCCCTCTTATGCCCCCTACCTTAAGAAAATCCTAGACTCCACCCTGGAAGTAACCCCCTCCCCCCTTTGAACTGACAGGTACCTGATCCGGCCCGACCCGCTCTCCCAGGTGCCGGGCCGAGGAGCCCCCCAGAATGCTGGCTCTGGGCGCTGTGATGGGCACAGGTTCCACACACGGGGCAGTACGCATCTGTAGGCTGGGGAGCGTGGAGTGACAGGAACGGACGAGGCTGCGGGGACCAGGAGGGGGCGCTGTCGCGGAGGGAGGAAAATCAGCAGAGGGGAGGAAGAGGAAAGAGCTGCACTTTTAATCATTTCTGCACCAAATACGAAATCCTGCCTTTATGTGTGTATTTTGGGGAGACGGAGGCTTCTGCTGCCTGCTTTTATTTTCTCTCCGCACTGAGAGACTCTCATTTTCAGCCAAGTCGCTAAACACCTACATGTATGCTGGGCGCCAACCAGCATACACGTCTATACCACCAACCCCCCCCCCCCTCCTCATGGACACTCGAGGTGGGGGGTTCATGGCTTATTTACCCCAACAGACCTTCAAAGGAAGATACACCCCACGAAAATCAGCTGACTGTGTCACCCCTCCCTGCCCATGCTGCTACACCTAAGACCATGCTCATTTACCCCC